GGATCCAGCCACCAACTTGCGAGGGAAGAGCCGGAGCCGCAGGGCTCCCGCAGATGTTTTGTGCTGGTTTGTCTCCCGGTCTCGCCGCACCGTTGTTTGCTTTAAATCATTTCGAATGCGGAGGTTGTCAGACAAGACAATTAACATGGGGAAGGGGGAAAGTATTACCATCCATTATTTGCCATAACATGAATTTAAGCCGGGAAGTCAAATGATAAAATATGTGGTGAAAAGTGGTGGTGGTGGGAGTGCCTAAATGAGTAATAGCCTTGGGCTTCTGAGCCTTGAACTTAACGTGCTAAGTAAATCCCCGAGGTCAAAAAGTACGAAAATTGTTGCAGCTTGGGGAGATATATTTTAACTTTGCAAAAGGTCCTCGCAAACCCGCTGCCGGGGCTCGGTGGCGAGGCAGATGCGGAGCAGCGTGCCGCTCCGGCGGCCGCCTGCAGCTGTGGGCGGCCGGGGGCTGCCGCTCCTGGGTTTGGACCCCCAGGTCGGGGGCTGGTGGCTTGTTTTAGGGGGGTGGGGGCAACCAAAAAAAAAAATCAAATACCATCAGGTGAGGAGCGGGCTGTTTGGGGCTGAGGGCTGCGCGCAGGGGCTCCGGCGGGGAGCGGCTCCTGCGGGTCCCTGCTCCGGCGAGAGAAACGATCGAAACCCCCGCTGTAACCCCCCCCCCCGCCCCGGGCCCCCCCGGAGCCGGAGCGGGCCCGGGCCTCCCCGGCGAGCCGGGGTCCCCGCTCCGCCGAGCCGTGCCTTCCCACCTTGCTCCAAGGCTTCCCCTTTAAAACCTCTTTCTCCCCCTCGAGCTGACCATGCGGCTGAATTTATGGAGAGAGATGTTTTAGCAGAAATCCCCCCGAGTCTCCCATCAGCCCTAAATCCCCAGCCTGCTCTCCCTGGGAGACCTCATGACACAGAGCATGCCAAAACAGCTTCGTTTTGCCTATGCATTAGCAATCTATTTTACCTTTTTGACATCTCTCACACATAAAACCGTAAGAGAGAAATAAAATATCTGTCTCTGGGCGAAAATAAAGCTTTGCCTCCCTCCTGATCTATAGGATATAAAATAAAGCCATGGCTTTGATAGTGGCTTTTCCTTATACTGGAGTTGCTTTTGCACACACGGAGACAATGAAGATGGATGAGCCGGGATCGGTGCATCCTCCTGGGGTTTGTTTCACCCTCTTTTTTTATAGTCTCCCCCCGCCCCCGCCACCTCTTTACTTTTCTTTCTTTTCTCTTTTATTCGTCTTTTATCTGCCCTTTAACAACGGGAAGGATCCCCTTCAGCTGGCACACACCCGGGCTCCCCCGCCGGGCTCCCCCTGCCCTGTCCCGCTCGCCCCGGGCCCGGACCGACCCCCCCAGCCGG